AAAAATTTTTATTTATTTAATTTATAAAAATTCTTTACAATTTTTAACACATTTAGTTCCTTCAAATTCTCCATTTTTTTTTAAATAAATTTCACAGTAATTATTGAATTAATTAGATCACTCTCTTCGAATGAACGAGTAAAGTTTTGAATAATTTGGCAATTGTTGACAGTCGTTTGACTTTATTTCCGAGCGAATGTCATATAACTAGCCCGTATCTGATCCGAGTTGTTATACTTTGAACTTGTTGTTGCCGCGAACTCTCGTATTCCCAATCTCGAACTTCGCTTTCGCCAAGAGCCCCATTCTCCTTTCATCTGGATGCGCGAAATTCTTATAAAGAGTTTCGCTTTGTTCTATGCGGCGAGTTAATGAAATATCATCATTTTTATTCCCTAATAACTCGTTTCTTTTCGATAGAAAAATATTCGAAGAAATAGACGTTTTTTTGTATAATTTAAATTCGTAGAAACTAAGTTTAGAAAAATGCACAGTAATTAACGATTAACTTCAACTTGTTCGAAATCCAGATCACAACTCAAATTTATCTTCTGTTTACTACTGGAAAGAAGTCTCGGAGGACACGGCACAAGGGCAAGAGAGGTACTTCGCTAGGATCCCCATTTCAAGATGTTTTGTTGACAATTCTTGATACCTGATACTTTATATACTACTTACAGTAGTAGAACAATTATAATTTGAATATTTAAAATCGTAAAAATTATTTTCATTTATGAAGTTATATTAGGATAATCATCTTTTGGAAGAAATTGAAATATTTTCAAAACTATTAATTATTTCGATATAATATTAATATATCTATAATATATCTAGTTTATTCGTATATACGTACAATTATTATCTTAACTACTCGAATACAAAACTACATTTATAAATTATCATTACAAAGTCTACGTATATTATGAAAAATAAAAAAATTTTTATATCGATAGGTTAGAATTCTCTGGATTCTATGGCTACGCTAATGCATGGAGGTTCAGATAATGATCGTCGTTTGGATCAGTATATGTGACAAATACCATGGTAGAAACAATACATGTGAAAATAGGCGTTTCCTTCCAAATTAACCAATCAGATCCGCGTTCCTTCCTTCTTTCCACCAATACCTTTGAGTCAAATTTATCTATAATCGGATAATAAAACGTTGAACGTTATTATTCCAGTGCAAATATCATATGTATTATTTCGATATAATACTGCAAAGAAATTGGATTATTTTTCGTTCTCTGGAACCGATCCCCTAAAAAATCGTCGAATATGCGAACGCGTTGATCATCTTCCAATTCGATTTTCGCCTAAAGGGCGGAGCTTCTTTAATGGTTAGATGAAACACGAGTTGATTTAAGTATGGCTTTCGATTCGAGAGCATCTGTTACCCATTGCTCTTTCAAGTCATTATTTTGAATGGTTTGAATAATTGGCTGAAATACTAATCTCTTTCCTTGGAGGATTTCAAACGTAGTAAATCCGATTTAGTTTTGTAAATATTCATTTTCATACATATTCGTATATTCCGAGCGTCGGTTACATTTCTTTTTTTTTTTTTTTTTTTTTGACAAAAGTCACTATTTAGTTTATTCGTACAGATCTTGAATCTTTTTATTCGCGAAATATAAATGAAAAATATTCGAAGAAACGTGTAAATCTTAGACAAGTTCCGTCGAGCGAGCAGATTCTTCTTCAATCGAGTGGTATGAAAATTCGATTCATTGATGAAACATGCAAATTCGTTACGTGTTATCGCATATGCATACACGGGAGAAAATTTTCAAGAGCTTAACCAAACAATGGATCGCGTTACAGATTATGGATTCAGGATTTCATTCGTTCCTTGTACCAACGATCTTTATCGATCTACGCTATTTTTATTTACCACCTTTGTACAATTAATATCCCATCCAACGTTCCATTTCTTATTATCCTTACCCTAGTGCGCTTAAAAATATTCACAAATATTCCCAATAATTTTTCACAATCGCCCGAATAGATTTAGATCAGATTCGAATTCGATAATGAAGCGATAAGACATCGTGCGGTGGTGCGGTAGTTTGCTTTTCACTCTCACAATAGGCGCGACGATCTCTCGAGCGCTAGGAACGCAGTCACCGTGTTGAGAGCGTAATTATGGATAGTGGTGGAGGGGGGACGTCGAGGATTGCACTATAACTTATGCGTCCTATCGGACCAACTCCACACACGGTGTTCTTAAAACATTGCATCTATTACGAGATTGTTCTGTTTAACTGTTTATTGTATTTTGATATTATTATTATTGTTGTTGTTATTATTCAAAAGCGTTGAAAAAATAAGAAGGAACTGATCCTTTCTATTTTCTGATCAAATATTTTTTTTTTTTTTTTAGTTTCTTTTCCTTGATACATATCGCCTTGATACATTCTTGATATATATGGGTTAAAAGCAACAAAAGACAGATTGAAAACAGATCGATCCGAACGAAGAGGTTAAGAATTATTTTTATTAATAAAATGGAGATACGGTCGTGTAAAAATCTACAAGTTTTAACGTACGTACGATAAATGAAAAACGATGAAAAGGGGTTTTGGGATTCGTTCCTACCATTATGCATATTCATTTATGACATATTGCACGTGAAACGTTTTACACGCACGCTAGTCCATTTAATACCTCGCAAAGTTTCCGCTCGTTTATCTTTTTAGCCGACCACTTAATTTCCATCGAGTTCGTTAAATTCATTTCCACCCAAAATCCTTGATGTTCTTGGTCACTCTTCGAGGTACGAGCACGGTTACGCGTGCGCTGATATATTCACCCTCGCTCTCTTTCCACTGAACTTCGTTTGAATATATTCTAGATTCATTCTGGCACGAGTGGATGGTCTAGAGATTTATAGGGGAAGGTTGCACCATTGACAAAATCCGCTGGTAATACCCGTGCCGCTCCATAGATACCGGTTACATAAAAATCCCTGGGCGTAGAGAATTTTTCTGGATTTAGATTAATGACGCCGATATTTCGATATATCCTAATAGCGTTTCCTTATCCGCGTCCCGAGTACAATTTCCACGTTTCACATTTAAAATTATTTCGAATCTTTTTTTCCTTTTTTTTTTTCGTATTTTCGACTTCGAATTGAATAATTCGTCGCGCTGGGAAAAAATTGAATTTTTATTAAAAATAAAATTTGCAAAAAGGATGATGTATTGTTTTTAATTATTAATATTTCGATTAATATATTATAGGAATATCAAGTTTTTGGGTAATTAGTTGCAAATTTTTCCAGATAGTTTAATTTACGATTTTCCATTATTAGTTTATTCTAAAGTTTTCTTTTAATGGTAAAATATATTGTTAATATTTTTAGAATATTGTAATATTGAAAGCTATTTTTTGCAACAGATGTAATAAATTGTGTAAAGGAGGACAGGAAATATTATATTGATTACAAAAATTATATACAACAATCGAGTTTACTTCGAGTTTAATTCGTGAAATTAATTATTACTTTCAATGATTGGCTCTGATAAACTTATTTGGTTTGACAATTAATTACTAATGGATCACAGTAGCGTAGAAATATTAGTTCAAAATCAATAATTTCCACCGTATTTAACCAATATTTGATCAGGCAACATGACATGATTAACTCTAGAATTATAACTCCCGATGAGAGGTTCGATTACTCCTATTCAATACCATTCGTGTTAAATGAACAGAAAGTTATCGTGTATACATCTACCAGATAATGAATTAAATAATTGTAATGAAAATTTATATTTTTAAAAGGTAAATTTTAACGCGTAAAATTAAAAAAAAAAGAAAGAAAACAATAAATTTTTGCAATCGTTCGAGTGAAATTTTCGATATTATACATTTTCCATTTGTAAAAAGCTTGAAAAGGAATTGAAAATTGTGTCATCGAAACTCACTCGGAAAATAGACGAAACCATACCGTTGAAATCCTTTTTTTATTTTATCCCGATATCTCAATCGGTTGTCGAGATATCCATAATGCTTAAGACAGTGCGAAGATTATGAATAGGCGAACTAGTAACCTACATATTTCCCCTAGAAATGCGTATTTTTCAAGTATAGTGAAAAAAACTATGTGCGTTTGTCATTGACCAGCCTTACTTATTCGCATCCTGTAACAAGTCGGTGAGATGCGAGCAAGAGTTTCGAGTCAACGGCAATGACAAAGATAGTAAACGATTAAAAATTACTCTTCTCTTTACACGACGATATTTCCGGAACCGGAAATCGTATCGGGATAAATCAAAAAACGTTTTAATAAGTAAGATTCCACGCTTCCAACGATCTTTCATTTATCTACAGGAAATTGTTATCTTCCGAGTTATAGAGGTTCAAACTTTTTTGAATTTTAATACGGTTTAATCTAAGTTTTAAAGCTGAATTGCGTGATAAATAGATATATTTATTTCTACAAAAAATATATAACGCTTTATAACGATCTTTTTAATGGTATCTCGAAAATTGTACATTTGTTCGCGAAGAATTTACCTTGTGTCCATATTCTCGTCGATTTTTAATTTTCTGTAATTTTCTAAAAAAACTTATTTTGATTCGAAGAATTAATCTTTAATTTTGTATCGTCCGTAACGATGTGCCGTAACAGAATCTAGAATGAAGTCAGAGTTAATTATCAAGCGTATTTTCGAGTTTCTTCGTCTTACATATGTTTATTGATGTACAAGGATTGTACGAGCATATAATGCAGCATGCTTAATGATTTTGCTCTCGTAGATGTAACCACTTGATCTTCGCGGCTATTTATAGCGAACATATGTAACGTATGTGCTGTATCAGAAAGTTATACGGTTAATATTCTGCATTCGATTCTTCGCGTTGTTCAAATTAAATTATTTAAACTTTATATTTGATACGATAAAATAAATAAAATTTGAATACACGCGTTTATCTTACATCGTAGAATATACAACATGTATAATTTATTAAAATATTGTATGTTGAAATTTCAGGAAGTGGAAGAACAGCTCTTTGATGTACGAGTCCCTAAAGTAAGTGATTTATTATTATAATTATCTATTATTATAATTTTAAAAATTAATTAAAAATTTCTAACATTTTAATATTCTTAACCAGAATATCTTCTCTTAAGATTTTCCAAGAAAAATTTCAATTCGCTCGACCATGCACTTTTACACCTTCAATCTTATGTCATGTTTTTTTCATTGAATATATCCAAAGATTAATCGTTGAATTAAAACGAATGTTAAGTCCCAGAGGCCAGTGTTAAAATAAAAGGGTGATATATGGATGGTAATTTTGGTATGCATCAAGTTAATTTGTGAAAATAATCGATTAAAATGCAATGTCCAGAGGCATGAATACAAAACCATGTGGCGTGTTGCGGTCAGCTCGTATTCTATTCCATGCATTTGATTTCGAGTGCATGTGGTCTACGGTACAACTCAGAATATTTATAATATGTATGTGTAATGAAATGTCTCATCCAGTTTACATATATGCGAATTTACTAACTTACAAGTTGCGAATGCTCGTTCTAATTCACGGCAAGTATACGCTAAATGATAAATTAAATCGTATAAACACAGAATGCAGAAATTGTAAAAATTGCAACGAGATACATGAAGCATTAACTTTATCCATTACCTATGTATTATCCATTATCATTGATCTAAAGTGTAATAATGAATTCACAAATTTCATTATTGTGCTTATAGGAAATTTCACATATTTTGATGATAAAAAAATAAAATAAAATTTTATTTGTGATTTATATAATATGTGATCAAAAATAAAAGTTATTTTTAAAATCTTTTTTTTTTTTTCGAGAGAGAGAGAGAGAGAGAGAGAGAGAGAATGTTTGGATAAAATGGTCTCCATTGTTTTCGTGACACTTATAAAAACGTTTCGAAAAAATCGTTCTTTTCGAAAACACGAATTTTTACCATCTTTATTAAAACTCTGGACGAGCGCGCGACGCTCAAAAGCGATGAAAAAAATTGTTGGCCCATCGATAAATTCCTAACCTAAATCAATTTTCGTCGCGTATAATGGTAACCGAAAAAAAAATTTTCGTCATCGATAACTGTTATAACCTGATTTCAACCAGCTATGTGTATGATGGTTACAAAAAAAAAAAAAAAAAAAAAACGAAAATAATTTTCATCATCGATTACTAGTTATTCTTAACCTGAAACAATTTCAATCATGTATAACGTTGATCGAAAAAAATAAAAAAAAAAGAAACGAAAAAAATGTTTCTCGTCATATTAAAATAAATTTTCATCACCGATATTTATAAACAAAACGATTTATACGAAATATTTGATAATTTTAAATATTTATAATCATATTGAAACGTTACCGAATGAGTAAAATATATTATTTTGCTGGCTTCTATAAACTCGATTCCAACTGGAAAGCCATTGGATCCGAAGGATCTTCGGGAGGTAACCCAAAATTCCTGAAAGCGCTCCACGTCTTTCTCATACGGAAATTCCTTTGGGATTACCGAATATCTCGAGAAACAAAGTGTATTATTTTGTTCCGTGGAACGTTCGAAATATTTGCGATAAACATTGTTGCCAAATTATATTGAGAATCGATAATTTGAAAGATTATTATATAATTAAAAATTCACAAATTACAATTACACCTTATGGTAATACTTAACGCTATTCATTTCAAGATAATAATCACGCATGCGCATAAGGAGAAAGTGCTTTCGCATCGCAAATAATTAAAACGTAAATAGCTCGACGGGTAAATATGCATCGATCGTTCGTTAAAACACGTAGTATGGGAGATATTGGCGCACAATGGCTAGTTGTTTAATATCGCGATATAAAGTTGATCGTAGCTTTGGGCGTTCGTCCAACTGCAAAACTATCGTGGATGCCTAAAGGCGTTCGAGGACTCGATGAGGATATACGTCGAATATCCCTCCGGACAATGGTCTTCCAGGAAGGCATTGATCGACCCTTCTATTCGCATAGTTGGCGAATAATCGCCGCGCTTGGCGCGACGCGATAATTATTTCGAATCTATGAAAAGTTCATCGCGCCCTGTAAATTCTCTGAAAATCGAATCGATGCTTACGAAAAAGAAGGAAACTTTTTCCTACTTTCTCCCATGCTTCCACTTAATGTAGTTCTAAAACGGGGAATCTTATTGATGGAAAGCTACGAACGTACTTTCTTTACTTTTTATAAGCAAGCAAAATTGCTTTTTGAAATTTGAAATTTGAAATTTTTTCCGTTTTAAATCGTAAACTTTAAATTATTCGTTGTTTGCAGTTCGTTGTTTTATATACAAGAAAATAAAATGAACGGTATTATTATATTATATTATTATAATTGAATGTTGAAAAGTTATCAAAATTATTCGGAATGAAACGACAGTTTTGTCATTGATGGATAAAGTAGAACAATCGTCAATACAGATTGTTGCTATATGATGATGATCGTGGCATTCTTTAAGCCGATAACAATACACGCAGCGTAGTCATGAGATGTCAATTGCGCAAATTTAGCTTATTGTTAGTTTATTTGCACGTATTACTTCGCAATTGAAAATTTATTCGATGTTATGTCGATGAACGTTGCCAACTGCATTTATGTTTTATTTTTTGGCGAGAAAAAATTTCAATATTAAAAAAAAAACAAAAAATGAAAAACGATAACTCTCTATTTTATTTATATCCAAATAAAATTTTTGCTTTTTAATGAATAAAAAATGATTCAAATATTATACGTAATATGACTTTTACGATTTATACATACGGTAATAAATACTTTTTCATTCATGATTTATCAAACACGCAAAGATATTCAGTTTTCTTGGGAGACATTCCATACATAAAAATATAAAAATGCAAATATAATGAATTTGATGTAGTTATAATTTCTATACCTGGACGTATATACTTCATTAAATATTCCATTATTCCGTATTATTTCATAAAAGTACACCACATTACGTTAAATAGCGCCATATTGTTGGAACATCGTCGTAAAACGTTTGAAGGTACATAACGATAGATATATGCTATATAGATATATGCCGATTATAAAACGTTTCACACGAAGCACTTGACCCGTCTAAAAACCACCGAGTGTCGTATGCAATTTGAATGAAAATGCGGTAAATGGTGATGGTTGTTTATCAGTGGCTAATGACGCGTCGTTTAGTTTGGACCGATGAAAACTGGCCTTTACTCATTTTCGGCATGCCACCACCTGCCTATGTACTCACGCTCGCCTATACACGCCTCGTTTCTATTTGTTTTCGCTAGACACGAATTTTCGGTGTCGTTACACTCTTGCGGTCGATCGAAACGCTTTTGAATTACCATTTGTGTACAATTGCCACGATTCGAACACACCATTAGTTAATTTCGTTAATACGAAACTATATCGCTACTTTTCCAACACGTGTCTCGTAAATGGGTGCTAAATATTAACGGATCGCGTAAAATCGATGATCGGAAGTTATGTGCATTTGACGACACTCGGATTGGCGGCACCGTTTCCGCTCGAGAACTATCGAAGATCGATCGTATCGACAGATTCCTACCATCCTAAACCTCGTTCCTCCTTATATCGCGTTTCGAAGATGGCGCGCATCACTCGTTCTCGTGAGTTGAACAGAAGAGATGCCGGAATCAGTTTCTGCCGCTAGATTGTCTTCTTTCGTTTCCATTCGACTTGGATGAACGTTACCAAGCTTCAGGAATCTCGACTATGTCGCCTATCCCGTATTCCAGCGGCTCGATCTCGATTGTAAGTTCGTAAATGCGATACGACTTAACCTATATCGAAGTGATCGTTTCATGTACGTAGCACGTTAGATTTATTTTTTGTCCTTATCTTTAACTCGACAAATTAAAATAATTAAAAATAATTCAGTTGTGTTTTATACACGTGTTTCAGTTATTGTGCGTTTGACATCGAATAATTCTATACTTTCGATAAATTGCAGATTTATGATATTAGGATTCATATAGACGAGTTTTGTCGTATGGTAACGCCCATTTACATTAAGTATTATCGATAGCCATTATTCGTTCGTCTAAATATCACAAAACTCGCGGATACTACGCAAAAGATTGCAATTATCAATTTTCGATCGTGCGAGCCCGCACCGTTTCTACCTAGCTTTCTCTGTGCTTTTAAGTATAATTCGATGTATGCACTGGTAAAACGCGCGTGAAACGTATGTACGATAAAATGAGCATCGCGATTGAAACGAATGTGGACAGTAGTAAAACAAATTTGATCGATGTAATTTATTACAAAATATTAAATTTAATCATTTATTTAAAAAATTTAAAAGTGCAATATTAAACGATAAAAGTTTTAATTTTAGATTATTTTATTTCACATAAAATCTTTCACACGCTATAGAAACAATTCTTAAAATATATTATATAATAAAAAATTATTGAAAATAGAATTCGTTTGAATATTTTTTTGCATTACGTATACTTAAGTATACATATTATACTTACGTTAAAAATTATATGTGTGAAGTATGAACTGTACATTTTCTGTTTTAATGATAAAAAAAAAATAAACACTTGCAGAATGTTCGTAAAACCTTAAAAATATAGGCAGACAGTGAGATACCAGGCCAGATGCCATCCTGTTTTTATATCAACATTTTCGATGACAAAACTTATTATTTCTTTCCTCTTAGCTTTTATTTAACTTGTTCTATATTTTCAAATATTTAAATGCATCACAATATACATTCACATCAACAACGTTCGTTACATAATACGTATATTTTCACGCATATATTTCGATACGTATCAATTTTTCTTCTTTCATTTATATCTTTTTTTTTTTTTTTTACCATTCCCTCTAGAGAAAGAATGAAAAAGAAGAATCAAGGAACATGGAAAACTATGGAAAAGGAGATGGAGGTGTAGCTAAGCAAGGCAGGCAACCAGGGAAATGCTGATCCGCATTCCCGAAACGCCCGGTATTCCAGCGGTATTGCACGAAATTGCTACACTCTGTCCGCGTCA